ACCGTAGTGACACAGTCCACTAAAATTTTAATTCCTAAATTGCAACGACTAAAAAATATCCTGTTAGTAAAAGGAGAAGATAGCGGGTAATTACCTATCTAATCAGTTAAACATATATATGTACAAACAAACAAAATCGCCGACTCAGCCATTTTATTATTATATATTACGCGAAAAGCCATTACTTTATCATGCCTATTGTATTATTACTAAGACGGCCCAGTAAAAAATTAATTATAGTAGGTTTTTTAGTTTAGTTTTCAGGCTATTAGTGATAGGTATATATATCACTAAAAGCGTGAAGTAATTAGTTGTTCATCTCTATAGTATGTTATTAGTGACAGAGAATTAGAAATGAACGCACAGCCGAATAAAAAATTAATTCTTAAATTGCAATGACTAAAAAAATATCACGGTATTAAGTTATAATTGTTTTTTAGTTTAGTTTTTAGGCTTTTAGTGATATGTATATATATCACTAAAAGCCTGAAGTAATTAGTTGTTCATCTCTGTAGTGTATTATTAGTGATAGAGAATTACAAAATGAACGCACAGTGGAATAAAAATATAATTCCTAAATTGCAATGACTAAAAAATGTAATGACTAAAAAATATCACGGTAATACGTTACGTTATACGCGGTATAACTAAAAGCGTGAAGTAATTAGTTCTTCATCTTTGTAGTGTATTATTAGTGACAGAGAATTACAAATGAACGCACAGCCGAATAAAAAATTAATTCTTAAATTGCAATGACTAAAAAATATCACGTATTATGTTATAATTGTTTTTTTTTAGTTGAGTGTTTACACTTTTAGTGATATGTACATATATCACTAAAAGCATGAAGTAATTAGTTGTTCATCTCTGTAGTGTATTACTAGTGTCGGAGAATTACAATTGAACGCACAGCCGAATAAAAATGTAATTCCTAAATTGCAATGACTAAAAAATATCGCGGTATTACGTTACGCGGTATTACGTTACGTTATACGCGGTATAACTAAAAGCGTGAAGTAATTAGTTGTTCATCTCTGTAGTGTATTACTGGTGTCGGAGAATTACAAATGAACGCACAGCCAAATAAAAATGTAATTCCTAAATTGCAATGACTAAAAAATATCGCGGTATTATGTTACGCGGTATTACGTTACGTTATACGCGGTATAACTAAAAGCGTGAAGTAATTAGTTCTTCATCTCTGTAGTGTATTACTAGTGTCGGAGAATCACAAATGAACGCACAGCCGAATAAAAATGTAATTCCTATGCAATGACTAAAAAAAATATCACGGTATTATGTTATAATAGCTATTTTTAGTTTAGTTTTTAGGCTTTTAGTGATATGTATATATATCACTAAAAGCGTAAATTAGTTCTTCATATCTGTAGTGTATTATTAGTAACAGATAATTACAAATGAACGCACAGCCGAATATAAAACTATAATTCTTAAAATGCAACGACGACCAAACCGAAATGAATACAACGAAATACGTAGCCTATAGTCACGCATTCGATTAATTTACTTACATTGCATTCCCGGAAATAAATAAATATAATTGTTTGTTTATTAAAATAAACTTTAAGCACTTTTGAATAGTAATACAAGATGAACGTGCAAGAAACTTGTGTTGCGCTTTAGATTGGTGTAACTATATATTTTTAAGTTGAAATGTGTGAATACAAACTACCAACTGCATTAGTTCATTAGAGTCAAATTATTAAATACACAATCAACTCTTTGAGTAACTAACTCCTGGTAGTTAGAGCAGGCCTGTCCCCACAAGCAGCATGCGTTCATGTGTATGACGGATGAGCCAGCCATCACTGAGCTTGACCATATAATCATTTTAGGTTGATGTTAATGAATGTTTCGTTAACGTTATGAGGAAAGGGGATTGTTAGTATTTTTTTTTTTATTGGATTGTTTGGGCTATTGTCAGATGTGTAGCACCTGTAGCACCTGTAGCACTGCGACCTACATAGATCTATTGTGCTCGCCCTTTTCAGAGTTCGCTACCTAGACCCGTCAGGGACAAGAATTGATTGTTAGTAAGGTGGACTGATTATCATATTGCTAATAATGTGTCATGTCAGGTTGATCTCCACACGGTTCCATTTGGAAACCATCGTGGTAAATTCATGGTGAATTTGTCACAATGAGCTAACCGATCTGACCTCATTTTCATCTTATCATCATCCACTGGTGCCCCACCAGCATACACGTTAGCATAGGCGGGTACACCATTTCAATATCATCCATAAAAAAAACATTCGTTAATTACACGATTTTTAAGTCGAAATTTCATGTTATTAAGTTTGCAATGTCTAAGTGTATTTTCTCTTATGAGTAATTCAATGTATGTACCAAACAAATTCTTTGAAATACCCTTGTATTATAAAGAATTTGTTAAATCGAGGAAATCATATTGGGGTTCGTTATAGTATATACAAAACTGACACAGTCAGTTCAGTTTTTCATTTGTAACCTATAAAATTATCAATATTAATACAATATTTGCGATGTAGAAGAACATATCGCACACTTATTATAATACTGGCTTAACTCAAAAATTACAAATTTTGGAAAGCCCACTTTATACATGTGGCCTTAAAGTCTAATTTCAAATATTTAAAATTTCTGAATTACGCCAGTATTGGACAAGATATACGATGTGCTCCTTTTTATCCAGTCTAATTATACATTTATTGATTAAAATTATTGCTGAGATATTTTTTTTAAGTTGACAGCCTCGGTGTTGCGGGTTCAATTCCTCGAACAGTACAAACATTTGTACTGATTGTTGATGATTTGTGTCATTATTTGTAGAGTGGTCAGGGTGTTTTTCTATATTATGTATGTATTTACAAAAAAAAAATATCTGTATCAGTTGTCTAGTAGCCACAATACAAGCTGTGTTTATCTTGGGACTAGATGACGCTGTGTGAATTGTTCTGAGCCATTATTATTATGTTCAGTGTACCTATTACATTTTTACATAAATGTACATTAAGTTAATTAAGTATAATAAACTTGTTAAGTGTATGCTAAGTTTTATGATGATTGCTTGAACCATTCAAGCACTAAGAAGCAAATAAACTCTAATTCACAAATAACATAAATTGAAACATTCATTGATAACTAAATAATAATAATCATAAATATTAAAATTAATTTCGTCATGCATTAACGTTATTACTATAACTCTAACAATAATTGATCCAGAGCAATAAAAAACATAAGATATATTAATTATAATATTATAATTAAGCAATTTGAAATCAAGTAATTAACCATTAAGGTAAGAATATACGATGCAAAATGATGGTACCAATGCAATGAATATGAATTTATTTCATACCAGACACAATCTATAGTCTATACGTACATATAAATAAAATTGGAGTGTCTGTTTGTAATATTGAAATAACCGTTTTTTACTACATACATATGAATATACATACGGTACATAAACCAAAACATTTTTTTTATCATTTTCTCTGTATGTTTGTTTCGGGTAATCTCTGAAATGGCTGGACCGATTTTGACAGGACTTTTTTGGCAGGTAGCTGATTTTTTGGAAGGAGTAACTTAGGCTACTTTTATTTTAGAAAAACAAGGTTAAATTCCACGCGGACGAAGTCGCAAGTACAGCTAGTATTAAATAAAAGGTTATATTCTTTAAGTAAAAAAAAAATGGATGGATGGAAAATAAAAAGGGAGTGGACGGCCAAAACAAAATGTATGAATTGTGGGATGACATGTATAAAAGCAGAATAAGCTCATCTATGACGGCCGATAGGGAAGAAGTAGGAAGAAGAAGCAAACCCCAAATGAAATGGAAAGAGGCTAGGCAGAGACTTATTAATTATCTATACATATAAATAAAATTGGAATGCCTGTTTGTAATATTTAAATAAACATTATTTACTACATGCATTTCAATACAAATACGGTATATACACCAACTTTTATTTTTACAATTTTTGTCTGTCTGTTTGTTCCGGGTAATCTCTGAATTGGCTGGACCGATTTTGACGGGGCTTTTTTTGGTAAGTAGCTGATGTAATAAAGACTAACTTAGGCTACTTTTATATTAGAAAAAAATGTTAAATAAAATATATTTTGTAATAAGAATTTTTCGAAAAATAAAGTTAAATTCCATGCGGAAGTAGTCGCGGGTAGTTAAAAATATAAGGGTCCACCCTAATGAGCTAGCTCAGAGGTTATTTATTAACAAAACCTCAAAACATCTGAAAACACACACACAAAATACTGAAGAGGAATAAGTGTATTCCAGAAATCTTAACATAGCACTGGAGGCATCATTTAAATAAAAGTTGTGCACTCACTGGACTGCAAACTTGCATACTCATTCACCAACCAATCCGAACACTTACTGATACATAAGGAACAAAAAAATAGCACTGGAGGCATCATTTAAATAAAAGTTGTGCACTCACTGGACTGCAGACTTGCATACTCATTCACCAACCAATCCGAACACTTACTGATACATAAGGAACAAAAAAATAGCACTGGAGGCATCATTTAAATAAAAGTTGTGCACTCACTGGACTGCAGACTTGCATACTCATTCACCAACCAATCCGAACACTTACTGATACATAAGGAACAAAATAATAGCACTGGAGGCATCATTTAAATAAAAGTTGTGCACTCACTGGACTGCAGACTTGCATACTCATTCACCAACCAATCCGAACACTTACTGATACATAAGGAACAAAAAAATAGCACTGGAGGCATCATTTAAATAAAAGTTGTGCACTCACTGGACTGCAAACTTGCATACTCATTTATCAACCAATCCGAACACTACTGATACATAAGGAACAAAAAAATAGCACTGGAGGCATCATTTAAATAAAAGTTGTGCACTCACTGGACTGCAAACTTGCATACTCATTCACCAACCAATCCGAACATAAGTGATATAAAAGGAACAAAAAAATTTTTATAAATAATATAAATACCTGTTAAATTCCATATAATCCAAGTATCGACAGTCCCAAAATAACATGTGCCATTTTTCATGGCATTTTTAACAGCATTCACATTATCGCTCAGCCATCTCAACTTCACTGCACTAAAGTATGGAGAAAGTGGCAATCCACATAGAGGCTGCAATTAATTTAATGATTAGTGAAATTTTAAAACAGATCCTCGGAACGGTCATGTCCCTCTGTGAAGCCCGTGAAGACATAAGGAGTCTTCTGCACTTTTGGGAGGAGTTTGGCTGGTCCTAAAATACATAATATTAATAATCATGTGTTAGTGAGGAGCTTGACTGGCTACTGTAGTAGTCTCGGCTCTACAAGCACAACGGCGCAGAGGGAGGGGACTGCTAGTAATGTACCATATCAGATCGATCTCCACGCGGTTCCCCCTGGAAACCATCGTGATACATTCCCGGTGAATTTGTCACATTGGGCTAACTGATCTGACTTCATGTTCATCTCATCATCCTCCACTGGTGCCCCGCCAGCGTAAACCGTTAGCGCAGGCAGGTGTACCATTCCATTATCATCCATTAAAGAAATTTATGTTGGACTCTATTATCTGCACTTATTACTATTTTATATATGTAACATTATTAACATATGCAGCTCAACTGCACAGAGCAATCAAATTAAGAGGTACACTGCTTACATTATGAGCAAGTCTACAGTTAATTTTAATATTAAATTGCAGTCAGTTTATTTAATAATAACTGTATAACCTTTTCTAATAAACTAAAATAAAAGTTAGTTAAGAGATTTTATTGTAATGGATGAATTTTTATAGTCTGACTGTTCCTGTGATTTCACCCCATTTTTATAATTTACCATCCAGTGTAGTATATACATTTGAGGAGAACTGGCAAGAAACTCAATTGAATTACTTATTTTTTATTTTCGAATGCCAGTTAAAACAGAAATAATTAAATGATTAAGATATATTTCTCAATTCACACAAATACCTTTAAATAATTCTTGTTTCTAGTCTTGTTTGGCACAGTATCCAGTAGCTTCTCAATAGTAGATGATGTTCTCATATCCAGCCATACTATAGCATTATGCAAAGGCCTGCCCGTCGCCTTGTCCCATACAATTGTTGTTTCTCTTTGATTTGTCACACCTATAGCTATTACATCCTGAAAACAGTCATTAAATATGTATACACACATAATTTTTATGAGTTAACCTGTTAACCGAGTGGTACATATAAATACATCAAACATAAACAATTGCATGTATGTGTAGTACATATAGTTGGGATGTATAGTTTTGTACAAGTAAGTTTTTGTATATTCCCTTGTTGTTGCTTATAAAACATATATTTCATATAAAAAAACAAATATTATAAATGATATTGTTGTGACATACTTACACGTCGTAGTGAGAGTCAATGCCCGTTAAGTATATGCTGCGTAATTAAAAAAAGAATTTCCCGGTAAACAGGTTAATATGAGAGACCTTATTTTATATTCGTCGAAATTGTTTTATAAATATAATTTATAATTAAACAAAAAAATATATTTATGATATTTACCTCTGGTCTCCCACCTAAGTCCACTAAATTTTCAACAGCTTTGAGAATGCAAGTCGTAACAACTTCTAATATTTCGTAAGGATCTTGCTCCACCCAGCCCTCTTGAGGAAAATGTTGCGATAATTCTTTCTGGTAAGATGTAACTACTTCGCATGAATTAGCTTTGAATATTATAAATCGTGCACTTGAAGTGCCCTCGTCTATTGAGCCAACTAGTGGGCCAAATATTCCATACTCAGACATAATTACAAGTAAATATTATGAATTATTTAATTTGAATTGCTTATATAATTACACTTGATTTGCGACATCTACCGCACTAGAAGACAATGCCGAACAATTAAAATATACACAATGATTAGTGGAATGAAATAAAACTATTGGAGGCAATATAATTATCTTAACTGCGGAATTTGTTATTTTCCCGAAGACGAGTGCATTAATGTCATGTCAATGTTGAAATATTTTTGACAGTAATAGTAACGTTATGGAATCTCATCTAAACAGCCATGAATATTTAATGTCTGTTTTTATTTAATTTGATTTTTTTATTTAGTACAGGTTTCAGGAAAATGAAACATTTAATTTGAATATTATTTTTGTACGTTACAAATTATATAATTTTCGCCATCTAGTGATGGCAATTATCAATTCAGGGCGCCATCTTGTGAAGTCAAATGTAGAAATTTTTGGTAAAGCATAATATATCTGCTAGATGTCCCAGTGCACTTCATTTTAACTGGAATGTACGTGTAATAAAACTTTTTTAATTAGGTAGCTATAAAAATAAAAAGTAATAAAATAAGTTTAAAAAAAACATTGTTTCACGCTGTAATGAAATAAATAGTTATATAAATTATTAATTAGGTACCTATAAAAACAGAAAGTGATAAAATATGTTAAATAAAAAGGTTTTCTTTTATTTCTATTCTAATATTGACCACCGACAAATTGATATCATTAATATACTATTTTTATTACAATTTTCAAGTCATCTGATCGCCAGTCTTGAAAGTCATCTAAAACGAAGTCATTCCAAGAAGAGATTTCCATATGAAATTGTAATTTAGGAACTAATGCCACTATCACTGAATATGAAAGTAATTCTGCTGCCCTACGAGCAAGGAACAGGTTCTGATGATCAATTTCCTTACAGTAAAAACATTTTTGACTTTTTTTGGGTTCCGGGATGATTTGTAACAATTAATTTTATATTTTTTAATTCAACAATTTTATTCCTAATCTTAATCAAAATAAATATGGTATTAATATTTTTTCACCTCATAAGCGATTCTTAACCAACTGCCAGAAGGTCGACCTGCATTTGTCACCACTTAAGGAAATATTCAAGGAAAAGACAATCGATTACTTTACACGTATATTATTTATTCTAAGTATTTTACTCATTCATTAATGTATAGTAAGTAGTTGCCTAATACTCATACCAAGATTATTATTTGGAATTGTATAAAATATTATTATTAATCTTATTATATATCTTATTTTTGACGACCTAGGTGGTCTAGCGGTCAAGCACACCGCTTTATGACCGATGGTCGCGGGTTCGATTCCTCGCACGGCACAAACATTTGTATTCATGAGTATGATTGTTTGTATCGGTCTGGGTGTTTTCTATGTATAATATTTATGTATTTACAAAAAAAAAAAATCTATGTATATGTATCAGTTATCTAGTACCCATAACACAAGCTCTAGCTAGCTTAACTTGGATCTAGATGGCGCTGTGTGAATTGTCCTGAGATTATTATTATTATATTATCTTATTAGATTAATAGGTCCTTCCTTATTCATAGTATGTACCTAATTCTTAATATTTACATTGTTCCCATATCTATATAAGTATAGTAAAGTTTTATTTGTATATCGTTTTTGCTATAACTACAAACAGATCACCAAAGACCTTTAGAAAGGCCACTGATGAGTTGAAAAGACCATGTAGTAAAATTGGTACAACTCGACTTCAATAGTTTCATCACCGTGAAATATTACATAACTATTATATTGATTAATGTTTCTAGAATCTTCTAAAGGATCTTGCTTACGTAAAATTGCAGTAAGTTATATACTAGAACGTGTATTTAAAGCAGTACTAGCAGGCTCCTATTAGATTTGGCTGGGCTGGGATAGAAACACGAGCGGTGAAGTCTAAGACTTACGTCGGCAAAGGGACCTCGGGGCCCCTTGAAACCGGGTCACAAGTTCCGGTCACTGATCGAAGTTTCCCTCTCTGCGACGTGATGGACCCTACACCCGTACGGTGAATCCATGGAATATGGACTGCTAGGAAGTACGCATCTCTCTCTCCTACAAAATATGCTATGCAACTTTTCCCGGCCGGTTTTAAAGGTTACCGGCCTAAATAGTCAAGTGCTTTTTACCATCGCACTCTTTGCCGTTGACCAGGAAATTACCACGACACCATGGAACCTAATCTAGGACAGTGTGGTATCAGAGGAACTTCCTCCCGTGAACACTTAGATTGTTCTATGAACCTGCTGAGGTTTTCTAGAGATTCTACGGCATGGGGTTTTCAAGAAGGGTATATTAAGGCTACTTAAGTTACATGACTCCTTTGGTGTTTCAAGCATCCATGGGCTACAGTAACCGTTTACCATGTTTACCGTAGCCCATGTTTAGATGGACTGTGATAATTGATAAATTTATTTAAAATATTTTAAATGTCATTTATTACATTTAAATTATTTTAAATAAAATGTTTTGTTTTTTGGTTAGATTTATTGGCAATGTGTGGTTACAAGAATAACCGACTATATAAATAAGTAATATTTTCATCAAAAAATTATAAATCATAATATACCTACTACTAAAAGTTTTATATTTTTGTATATTTTTATCATTGTAAAATTTACGAAGAAATTTCTTCTCCGAAAATTTCTCCTACAGCTCCTCTTTAACGAAAATAGTTCTTTTTACAGATTTAACAGATATTATCTGGAGCTAATCCAAATTTCAAGTCATTGATCATTAGTTTCTCCAAGATATTGCAGATATAATGTGTCAGACGGATAGACAGAAAGACGGACAAATGGACAACGTCCGCACTATGAGTCCCAGTTTATTTTTTTGCAACGGAAATGAAAATGCTCCGTATTACATTTTTAATTATAAAGACTTCAAACACGTACTTAAGGCATAGTTCTTATTCGAGAAAAATATTTTATTATGTTTTTATTTTAATAAGATGAAAAATGTACTGCATGATATCTGTGTGTTATTACTGAATATTTTATTTTTAATATTGAATATAAAATATATAAAAAAAATAAACAAAGTTATAATTAATATTGACAACTTCACTGTTCACTGTAGAAAAGGATATAGAAATCCATTAAAAAAATACAATAATCAATTTAGACTAATTAATAAACTGAGTCGAACATCGAAAAACACAAGGATGCATTCATAATTATTGTTCAAACACTTAACTTCATTCTAATCTTATTTATAACATCCAGTCAGATAATTTCCATGAAAGGTAGCCAGAGAGCGTACCATTTAGTGGCGCTCAAAAAATTAAACAGCCTCTTATTGATTTCCTCATCACACAATACACGAGACATCCAATCATCATTAACTAGACCACTTCACTTAAGAGAGACCTACATAAATTCTATTGTTATTTCTGCTACGCTATAAAAACGCTACAATCACATTTGTTGGTTATAATTTATAGGTTATGTTATTTGCAATTCCTTCAAATTCCTAAAAAAGCTTCTTGATATAAATCAATTCACTGCACAGTCCAGTACAGTCTCGCTTCGGTATCCGTGGGAGCTGGCACGCGGCTGCCCATGCTTACTCGACTCGTCTGAATTGTGGTTAACACGCTCTGACAAAATGTTAACATTGACCTTTGCTTTATTAGTGCTTATTGTTACTGGCTACATACTGAAATCCATAGTGAAGCCGAAGAAATTCCCTCCAGGTAAATTAGGAGAAGGCATTACACTCGTTACTGTATCATACCATATCCTAAATATCATTTACTTAATAGTTCAAAGTTCACGTTATCAAAGTCGACTTAACTTTCTTTGATTCAGAATTATAGTATTACAAATCGCGGATAATTTAACAAGTCGTCTCTCAATTTCTACTCTGTCTATTTTAATAGTTTGACACGTGCATCAAACTAGTGGTTCGGCGTTTGTTATCTAAAGATAGATCGTTTTCTGAATGTACTCAAAGTGTTAATGGAACTCGGTTGTTATTTAAAGTATTAATAATAACGTTGTTATACAGAAACTATGTCTAACCTATGTACTGTTCGCTTACAAGAAGATTTCCTGAAATACAAGTAAGTGTGTATTATGCAAGAACTTAAATATTATGCAATGATATTTATCATAGAAAACATGTCGAACTATTGCATGAGAGTTATTAAATTACAACAATTTTGTGTTTAAGCGACACCAAAAGTTACGTACACACAACGTTAAAATTGTTAATAATTTTAAATAATGTATCGGTACATTTCGTCGTCACCTTAACTGATATTAACGTAATATGTGTTTATCGATAATTGATGTCCAATTATTTGAAATTGGATAATGGTTAATATGAGTACACTATTATGGTAGGAGTCATATTTTGTTATTAATTTGAGCAATATAATACAGCATACCAACTAATTTAGTTAATAAATCTAGTTGTCTAGGTTATACAGTTCTTCGATATATACTTGAACAGAAATATTATTTATAGCAGTACTTTTAAAATAGAGTTCAGAAATATTATTTATTAAAATTGATATTAAGGTGATTACACCTTTGCGTTTGAAAAGAATGTTGTTTTTAAAAATTGACAAAAAGTCAGCACTCTTTTGCGGTTAAAAGACACTAAACTTGAAAAACTAATTGAAATAGCATTAAGCAGAATATCGCAGATCGTATTAATAAAATATTAACTGAATTTGAAACCAACTCTATTTTAAAATAGCAGGCAATCTTAAGTCCGAGCATGCGAAAAACTATTGAATAAAGATACAATAAATAATTATACAATACGAAAGAGAGGAATGCAGGCTCCAATAGATTCTTGGAATGACTTATTGTGATTTAAAAGACCGCGTGCCGTCTGATATCACATGAGATGCCATTCTGCATTCCTAGAGATCCAGTCACAAAGTTCCGTATTTTATCCACAAGTTGTCGTAAATAGCTATTAGTCTTTGTGGGTTTATTCCGTATAATTAAGTTAAGTTATAGGATTTATTTCGGATATTTTTTTTTACTATTCTAATGCTATAGTCGCTTGCCTTTACAGCTTCACTTGACCACATGAGGCGAGTGCTGATGGCACTCCAAACCGAAGGAAGTGCTTATGGAGCGGCTGAGTGACAACTCCCGCCTGACGGATTCGATTTTAGTATGAGGGCACCGGTTGGGGTTCAAACCTCGGCTCCGACCGTTGTAATTTCGATCCCCTTTTGAATTAGACGAGGACGGATCAATAGCCCCCAGATTAGCAATGCATTTGCACAATACAGGCGTAACTTACCGTCCATTAGTTAACCATCTACCATCACGTGATTATTTGCTACATTTGCTAATCCAATTACATAAAGACTAAAATATGTTAGTTTAAGATAAGTAAAACTGGAAATAAATCTCTACGGGTCAGCCAGTAAGTAATATGATATTTTATGAGGAGAAATTGATATTATAGGTTATACGTAATAGTGATACATTATTGTGATGATTAAAACTTATAGAGATTCCTAAAGATATTACAAACAAATTGTATTTAGATTTAATTCTTAAAAACTCCGAATTAATAATAAAATTCAGGATCTCGTTTTTGTTAAACAAAATACTTCTCCCCTTGTTGACTGTTATATTTTACTGTTTCTTAAGTATCACGTATTTACGGTTCTGTTTCTATGTAGATAGGGATGTAATGGATATGAAATTTCGGATACGGCTAAGTTTCGGATGTAGGAGTGATTATTATACCGGATTCGGATGCGGATATGAAATTATTTCGGATTATCCGTTAGTTTCGGATAATTTCGGTTACGGATATTAATTTTTTAAGGAATTCCAAAAGTAAAATACAAATAGGTAATAAAATGGTTACATAACGTGTTATTTCGGATTCGGTTACGGTTACGAATATTTTTTTATATCGGATATCAGATAGTTTTAGTTACAGTTACGGACAGTCTAACATCCCTGATTGTAGACTAGATATAAAACAAACAAAATAACTATTTTGTTTATAGTTGAAGTATGTAGTCAAAGTGAAAATACATTAATATATGGTTGTTGTGTAAAAATGCATGGGGGTGTGTGTCACCTTTTTCTCGTTGTTTAAATATATTTATTAAGTTTTTTTTTTCGGACTACTCTAATGCTGTTGGCCGCAGCTGGCCTTTACAGCTTCACCGGACGTTAAGGGGCGAGTGCAGATGGCACTCCAAACCCGCGGAAGGACTTATGGAGCGGCTGAAGGCCAACTCTCGCCTGACGGTTACGACATTAGTCTGAGGGCACCGCTAGGGGTTCAAACCTCGGCTCGCCGTCGTAACATCGGTCCCCGTTTGAATTGGACGGGGGATTGATCGAAGGGGGATTTATTTATTAAGCACATTAAAAATATACTTTTTGCACTACTTCTTTCTTTTTTTTTCTTCTTCTCTATATAAATTATGTGTGTGAAATTTCATACTCCATCCGAGGAATTATCGTAAACAAAGTTTGCTTCCCGTAATATTACGATTATCAGTTTTTTTCTTTTTTAGAGATAACCAACGCTATCTTTTACCAAATGTATTTATTGCGAATATTGTCACAGCAATGTAGGTTAGTAGTAGTATAGATATGCAATACTCGCGGCTTCGTCCGCGTGGAATTTAACAAAAAAGGTAATTAGACGATTTTTATAAAATAAAATTAGGCTTAGTTACTCCTTATTACATTAGCTACTTGCCAAAAAAGTCACATCAAAATCGGTCCAGCCATTTCAAAGATCAGCCGAAACAAACAGACAGACAGACAAAACCTGTAAAACATGTTATATACATAACATAACTTTGGTGTATGTACCGTATTTATATTCATATGCATGTAGTAAGAAAACGGTTATTTCAATATTACAAACAGACACTCCAATTTTATTTATATGTATAGATAGTATAGTATGTAGGTCTTATTTTTTTTTTAATTTTATTCTCATACTCTGGTCTTACATTTGAACTTTTAAAAAATAACCATATGGAACATGCAAAGTCATGGCAACACGACTAAATACAGGAAATGAATGTGCTGCTAATCTTATCTAGACCAAAGGATGTTGTGAGGGGAGACCTGTTCAACATATCTCTACCTTATCTTTACTTCTCATTTATTGTACAGAATAGCAATTTATGACAAATATTTTTAAACTATCTGTTCCCGCGATTCTGTCCGCGTGGAATTTTACTTTATTTTTCTGAAATAAAAGTAGCCTAACCAAAAAAAAGCCTTACCAAAAAAAGCCCCGTCAAATCGGTCCCTGTATATGTATCAGTTATCTAGTACCCATAACACAAGCTTTAGCTAGCTTAACTTGGGTCTAGATGGCGCTGTGTGAATTGTTCTGATATTATTATTATTATATTATTATTATTTCTTATAATACCTTCAGGCAGAAGCAGTAAAAAGGGACTATTGGGGTCGGCAAGTAACAGCTAAACATACAGCAGTTCCTGCAATTTCGTCCGCGTGGAATTTAGCTAACTAAATGTTAAATTAAAAGATAATAAAAAAAATAGCCTAAGTTCCTCCTTATTACATAAGCTACCTGCCAAAAAAAGTTCCGTCAAAATCGGTCCAGTCAATTCAGAGATTAGCCGGTTCAAACAGACAGATAGACAGACAAAAATTGTAAAAAATGTTATTTTGGTGTAGGTACCGTTTTTTATATTCATATGCATGTAGTTATTTGAAGTAAGGAAGTAAATAACGCGATGACTGCGAACAGGGATGAATGGAAGCGAAAAACATATTACGCCGACCCCAAATAAATGGGATAAGGATGAAGCAGATGATGATGATGATGATGCATGTAGTTATTTCAAGATTACGAACAGACACTCCAATTTTATTTACATGTATAGATTACATAGCACTCGTACATCTACTCATACAATATTGAGAATGAATGTACACTTTCAATTAATACTTTTTTATTACAAGTGGTGAAACCTGTTTCGTTATACTTTTTATTTTAAAAAACTAATCTTTACATAGTAAATTAAATCGCAGCTGCTGTCTGTTCGGTTAGATCTATCTTTTAAATTATATAACGGGTTTTAATTCTTTTATCTGATATAGATATAGTGATTCAATATATTTATATCTTACTAGCTGTCCCGGCAAACGTTGTTTTGCCATATAAATTAATAATGCTATAAAAAAAAGTGTTTAAACCCCTATTTGGGTTGGTAATAGAAGAGTGAAAATTTAGGGTTGTATGTATTTTTAATGATACATAATAAAAAATTTTGTCTAAAAAATAAAATAATAATGTCAGGTGTGGACAACCCTTATCACTTAGGAGTATGAAAAAAAATAGTACTTAGTCCATTCTCAGACCTACTTAAGATGCATATTAAATTACATAAAAATCGGTCTATCCATTTCGGAGCAGTATGGTAACTAACATTGTGACACGAGAATTTTATATATAAGAATGTATTATAAACGCTAATGTTTTGAGTATGGATGGATGTTTGTTACTCTTTCACGCAAAAACTACAGAACGGATTTTGATGAAACTTTACAGTAATATAGCTTATACATCAGAATAACATATACATAATTTTATGCGAGTGAAACCGCGGGCACAGTTAATGTATACTGAATGCGTGTTATAGCATAGAACAAGCCAAGAATTTCAAAGTTTTGTAATACATCCGCGTGATGATCCCTAATATATATATATTTTTAATGGTCTATCTATCTATCTATATATTTATTCACTATATATATATATATATATCATTGTAAATAGTGATATTATATTTATTTCCTTAATTTACTAAAATATTTTATTTTTCTATTTATCAGTATATATATCTATACCTACTTATAAATAAAATGGGAATGTCTGTTTGTAATATTGAAATAACCGTTTTTTACTACATGCATATGAATATAAATACGGTACGTACACCAAAACAAAATTTTTACAATTTTTGTCTGTCTGTTTGTTCCGGCTAATCTCTGAAATGACTGGACCGATTTAGACGGAACTTTTTTTGGCAGGTAGCTTATGTAATAAGGAGGAACTTAGGCAATTTTTTTTATTATCTTTTAATTTAACATTTAGTTAGCTAAATTCCACGCGGACGAAATAGCAGGAACTGCTGTATGTTTAGCTGTTACTTGCCGACCCCAATAGTCCCTTTTTACTGCTTCTGCCTGAAGGTATTATAAGAAATAATAATAATATAATAATAATAATATCAGAACAATTCACACAGCGCCATCTAGACCCAAGTTAAGCTAGCTAAAGCTTGTGTTATGGGTACTAGATAACTGATACATATACATTTATATATTTTTTTTTAAATACATACATATTATACGTAGAAGACACCCAGACCAATACAAACAATCATAGTCATGAATACAAATGTTTGTACCGTGCGAGGAATCGAACCCGCGATCATAGGGCGTAAAGCGGTGTTCTAGACCGCTGGACCGCCGAGGTCATCAAATCAAAAGAAATCAGTTGAGGCTATGTACTTATTTATATTGCAGAAATATTTACACTAATGAGATAAATACAAGAAGAGTTTCGGTCCCGAGCCAAATTGTTTGTTACTTTTTTTCAACAAATACACCTACAAGTAAAATGGTACTGATTACACCGACTTTCGATATAAAAAGAAGTTCATAAAGCTAAGCTCAGTTTAGCAAAGCAAAACTCAACTCACGCGTGATTTAAAACGCAAACATTGAAGTTATACTCTATGGCTATTTGCTATTTTTTTTATCAAATATTGAACTGCCCGCTGCGCCGAGTAGTATTCAGCGCGTTGTTTTAAAAACTCACCAACAGAGAGAAAATACTAAAATCAACAAAATAATAGCAAATAGTCATACTATTTGCTATTTTTTTTATCAAATATTGAACTGCCCGCTGCGCCGAGTAGTATTCAGCGCGCTGTTTTAAAAACTTACCAACTGAGTGAAAATACTAACATCAACAAAATAATAGCAAATAGTCATACTGTTTGCTATTTTTTTTATCAAATATTGAACTACCCGCTGCGCCGAGTAGTATTCAGCGCGCTGTTTTAAAAACTTACCAACAGAGAGAAAATACTAACATCAACAAAATAATAGCAAATAGTCATACTATTGGCTATTTTTTTTATCAAATATTGAACTGCCCGCTGCGCCGAGTAGTATTCAGCGCGCTGTTTTAAAAACTTACCAACTGAGTGAAAATACTAACATCAACAAAATAATAGCAAATAGTCATACTATTTGCTATTTTTTTTATCAAATATTGAACTGCCCGCTGCGCCGAGTAGTATTCAGCGCGCTGTTTTAAAAACTTACCAACTGAGAGAAAATACTAAAATCAACAAAATAATAGCAAATAGTCATACTATTTGCTATTTTTTTTATCAAATATTGAACTACCCGCTACGCCGAATAGTATTCAGCGCGCTGTTTTAAAAACTTACCAACTGAGTGAAAATACTAACATCAACAAAATAATAGCAAATAGTCATACTATTTGCTATTTTTTTTATCAAATATTGAACTGCCCGCTGCGCCGAGTAGTATTCAGCGCGCTGTTTGTAAAAACTTACCAACTGAGAGAAAATACCAAAATCAACAAAATATGTAGAATATCATGATTTTTTATTCTGTTTCCTTACATGTGTGTTGAAAAATATTCAACGATATATGCCCGTATTTGATTGATCTCCCGTACAATTCAAACGAGTTTCGAACCCCTAGCGGTGTTCTTAGACAAAAGTCGTATAGGTCAGGCGGTAATCAGCTTTTAGCCGCTCCTTGAGTCCTTCCGCGGGTTTTTAGTGGCATCTGCACTCGCCCCCCATCGTCCGGTGAAGTTGTAAAGGCCAGCTGCGGCTAACAGCATTAGAATAGTCCGAAAAAAAACACGGCCCTATTACGCTCTCGTCTTCGGTACGGGATGAAATTCGGCGTCGTGTGTTATAACTATTATAACGCACTTATGTCGTAATAGACTATTACCATCATAACTAGGGAACAGTGGGGAGAGGGGATTGATAGTAATGTGGACTAATGATCCCATTGCTAGCAATCCTTTCCAATCATTCAATGGTTCCTCCTGGAAACCATTGTGATAAATTCCCGGTGAATTTGTCACGTTGGGCTAACAGATCTGACTTCATGTTCATCTTATCATCCTCCACTGGTGCCCCGCCAGCGTAAACTCTTAGCGCAGGCAGGTACAACATTCCATTATCATCCACTAAAAAAAATTAGGGAACAGTGTAATCATGCGATGATAAAAAAATCAACACAATGACATCGTAGATTAAATAGAAAATTGTCATTTTTCAAAATTAGAAACTAGAATTACCTCCTTTTATGACTCAATTAAATTAACCACGCCGTCTTAATCATTATCTAAATACTTTTAAAATGATATATAATACTTCTGTCTAAATATTTGTCAAAACTTTGAAGGAAAAAAAAATTATTTAAATAAATTTAAAAACTTTAAATGCTTGTCTTGTAAAAAATGTACTTTTTGAATTGAGCCATTTTTCTATTTAATCGACTTATTGTCATTCATGTATAAATCCATTCATTCTGTTAACCCGGAACCTCTAATCTACATTCACAACATCTAATCATCCGATCCATTACAATTAGTAACTTAAATAACACTTTATATTTTCTAGTTGTTCTTTTCTCTTAGGAATAATAAAGTGATTTGCCTGTTATATAAAAGAAAAACAAGTAAAAAGATGGTGCACTGTTTCTACTAGAAAATTAACAACTAATATAAAAGGAAATATTTTATTAAAATGCTTTTGTAACGGGAATTGTTACTGAAAACAATTATTAAAACGTATAAATGTTCAGTGTAATAAATAAAGGAAATTGATGAAATATGTTCCGGTAAAAAAACCTTATACAGAGACTCCATATAAAGTAGAAGCCTAGCTGTATGTACACATAATATAATACCTGATCGGAATATGGAACACATTGATTGTAAATGCATTTAATTTAATTGGACAGAGAAATATCATATTCATTACGTTGATTGTTAAATATAAACTTTATATTTTTATTTAACAAAAACTTATTCTAAGAGCTAGATAGACAATGTAATTGCTTTCTGCTTCCGCAGAATAAACAAATTACTTAGCTGCGTTAATATCACTTGAATCGCTTTCTTGTACCTATTATACTTCATTTTATATCGCACAGATAAAAAAAGTCATACGTTTGCATTAAACTTGGCTCGTTCCGTGAATATAAAATTAAACCTGATAAAAACTAGACTAGGCTGTATGGTAATTGATCTTTGCCAGTTTCATCATTAAAAAAAGAACTGAACGAATGGGGGGAAAAATCAATATAGAAGACTAAAACTGTAATATTTTGTTTTTGCCATTTACGCCTTCAACAGTGAGAATGGCATTTTATTTTTAATTAAAACTTTAGACTTTTTTCTTTGTTCCAGGTCCAGGCTGGTTTCCTTTCCTTGGTTCAAGCAATGTGGTACAAAATATGTCGAAGATGTACGGCTCCCAGTGGAAAGGTCTTTCCATGCTGGCCAAAGAATATTCAACACAAGTTCTTGGATTAAAACTGGGAAGAGATTTAGTGATAGTTGTATACGGTGAGAAGAATATACGGCAAGTCTTTACTGAAGCAGAGTTCGAGGGAAGACCGGATAACTTCTTTTTAAGACTGCGATGTCTTGGGAAACGAGCAGGTAAATATAATGTGACCAGACGTCCCGTAATGAACGGGACAGTCCCTTTTTATAATTACGAGTCCCGGTGTCCCCGAAACGTACTCTGGGACGCAAAATTGTCCCGTTTTCGGTAACGGTGCGAAATTTTGGGTAGACGAGCCGGTTGTTAGTTGTTGGTAATTAAGGTGAGTATAAAAAAAATGTGCCAAGAGTGTCATTCTTACTTAAATACTTCTTAAAAAGTCAAATTTGTTCCTCCGATAACAAAACATTTTATTTTTATCGGATAAATATAAACTATCTATGAATAAACAAAATGTTTAATTATATTTATCGGATATATTTCTTAATTGATAACTTTTTTTGAATAGATAATTTTAAAAAAAAGTTTTTTTCATTGGCTGTCTGTTAATTGTGTCCCGTTTTGAGTCGAAGAATAAATGGTCACATTAGGTAAATATAACTACATGTGTTGAGTCATGTTAGAACATGCTCTATCTATGCTCTATATATTATAAAAATGGATAGATAAATTCTTTATTCAATTAAACATATACAAAATCGTATATATATTTCTAAATATATATAACTTAAAGGTGACTGACGTAGTAATCTATCAAAGCACAGCCCAAACCACTGGACGGATCGGGCTGAAATTTGGCATGCAGGTAGATGTTATGATGTAGGCATCCGCTAAGAAAGGATTTTGATTAAATCTACCCCCAAGGGGATAAAATAGGGGATGAAAGTTTGTATGAAACTTTGTCCATTTTAAACTTATCGGGCTGAGACTTTGCATGCATAAAGCTACTATGACGTAGGCATCCCCTAAGAAAGGATTCATAAATTCCACCCCTAAGGGGATAAATTAACGCGAGCTAAGCCGCGGGCAAAAGCTAGTCCTGTATATAATTCATACGCGCAACAACACCGCTTTATTTCAAATGATTGCGGGTTTGATTCCTTGCACATACAAACATTCATGAGTATGATTGTTTATTTCTGAGTATTTTTATGTATGTGTTAACAAAAAACAATGTATTACTTAACTCGTACTCATAACACAAGCTCTGATTAACTTAGGACTAGATGGAGCTGTGTGAATTGTCTTGGGTTGTTACTATTGTTATATATGTATGGTTATGAATACACTTAGACTATTCATATACCAAATTCCATTAAAATCCGCTCAATCACTTAGGCATTAGTGAGTTATAAAACAAAACATCTACCATTTCAGTGTAAACATGTTTATAAAGTTTGAAATAAGTTTATATATATAACATTCCTAGAAAAACATACAATGTGATCAATATTGTCTTAGAATATTTATTGAATAGTTGTTACCTACGGTTTTGTTTGCATTTGATATGAAAGATAGCCTATATATTCGTCCAAGCGATAAACATTCTTATCGTTGTTCGGGTTGATGATGAAATGATGATGAAGTCTGAAAATTTAGGGTTGTGTGTATTATTTAATGGCGAAAAATAAAAAAGATACAAATATCATATCAATAAAACAATTTTTTTGGCGTTGAAACTACTTACGGTTTTATAAATATATAACAATACTGTCTCAGACCTACCAAATACACATGTTACAAAATTTCATCAAAATCGGTTCGGTAGTTTAGTATTCCATCGCGTACAAACAACATGATACGAAATGTTTTTATATATTAAAATATAAGACAATTTTTGTTAAGAATAATTCTCTTTTGGATTTTTCGACGAATAAAGTTATTTCTCTTGTCTGCCAATAGTTTTTTTATTAAGATGTATGAATACAGAAATCTATAGAGTATATCATTTTTATTTTTCGTTGAGTAAAACTATTTTTCTTCTTAGTCAAAAGTTCCTTTTATTTCTATTTTTTTCTGAACGTTAAAGATTTTTGGGAAGCTAGTAACAACACTCAATGAAGTCGCTCTTTTCAGTTACGTACGGAATGTATTAATAGTAACAATTGAAAGATTTGTATGAGTCTATGAACGAAATGATTCCTCAATAGACGCAATCATGCTAAATTGATCCCACTCAAGTATAATATAACAAGTGAATTATTTATATTAGACTAGCTGTACACGCGACATCGTCCGCGTGGAATTTAACTTTTTTTTTTCTAAAATAAAAGTAGCCTAAGGTACTCCTTATTATATCTTAACCTGCCAAAAAAGTCCCGTCAAAATCGGTGCGGCCATTTCAGAGATTAGCCGGAACAGACAGACAGACAGACAAAAATTGTAAAAAATGTTATTTTGGTGTATGTATTTATATTCATACGCATGTAGTAAAAAACGGTTATTTCAATATTACAAACAGACACTCCAATTTTATTTATACGTACACTAGCGATTCGTACGCATGAATTACAAATCTTTGAAATTCTCGGTTTAATTTCTATATCTATACAGATGCCCGGTCAAATCGGTGCAATGGCTACACCGATTTTGCCGGGACTTTTTTTCGCAGGTAGCTTATGTAATAAGAAGTAACTTAGGCTACTTTTATTGTAAAAAATAAAATAAAATTCCACTCCGACGGAGCCGCGGGAATAGCTAGTACTATAATATGTAATATGTATTATTATACCGAAGATGAGAGAAATGTATGATTATATGGAAGTGGAGCGGTGTGCTAAACTGTTCCTTTCTATAACAAGCATCTTCAGTGATTTTTTTATCCCAATTACATAAAAACGTATTCTAATTATGAAAGATCACTCAGAATCCTAAGTAATCATGACATTGTTAACCGTCCGAATAAAGAAGTGCCTCCCTCACATAGAAATACTTCGTGGTTAGTGTGTATTTCAAAAATATCTTTATTGGGAAACGGGTATACGTGACTGAATTTATTTATATCTTTGGTCCGCATCTTTATCGTCATGCAACCTAAACGACTTGATGGATTTTAATAGGTGTAGTTTGGTACGTCTTAATTGTGGGTATGAGATATGTTACATTGACTCTGCCCGTGGTTTTGCCTGCATGAAATTTATAGCCTAAGTGTTCTGATGTGTGAGCTATATTACTACAAAGTTTCATCAAAATCAGTTTAGTAGTTTTTGCGTGAAAGAGTAATAAACATGCGATATTTAATGATAAATGTTAAGTGAGTATGATGCAGCTAGTAAGTCAATAGTTCAATATAGGATTTTTTTATTGTATTAGTAACAATACTCTTGGATAATTCCCACAACGTCACGTTACTCCCTAGGTAAGCAGAGCTTGTGTTATGGGTACTAGACTACTGATATAAATACTTAGTTTCTTTTGTAAGAAGTCATAATATACATAGAAAACACCCAGATTGGTGCAAACAGTCATGTATACAAATTTTTGTAACGTGCGAGGAATCGAACCCGCAACCATCGGATGTAAAGCTATATGAAACCACTAGACCATCGAGGTTCTTGCGTATACTAATTATATGGATTAGAATAATTACGTTACATATTACAACTTATATCTTAATTCTGACGACCTCAGTGGTCTAGCGGTGTAGCACACCGCTTTACGTCCGATGGTGGCGGTTCGATTCCTCGCACGGCACAAACATTTGTATTCATGAGTATGATTGTTTGTATCGGTCTGGGTGTTTTCTATGTATAATATGTATGTATTTACGAAAAACAAAATCTAAGTATCTGTATCAGTTATCTAGTGCCCATAACACAAGCTTTAGCTAGCTTAACTTGGGGCTAGATAGCGCTGTGTGAATTGTCCTGAGATTATTATATTATATTATTATTAATTCTAGTATACGATATCAAAGAATACATCTTCATAATTACATAGTATAAAACAAAGTCGCTGTCGCTATCTGTCCCTATGTATGCTTAAATCTTTAAAAATACGCAACAGTTTTTGAACCGGTTTTTTTTATAGATACAGTGATTAAAGAGGAAGTTTTATATATATATACACACCCGTGCGAAGCCGGGCCGACTAGCAAGTTATAATAATAATAATAATCTCAGGACAATTCTCACAGCGCCATCTAGTCCCAAGTTAAGCTATCTAAAGCTTGTGTTATGGGTACTAGATAACTGATACAAGTACATAGATATTTTTTTTTCGTAAATACATACATATCATACATAGAAAACACCCAGACCGATACAAACAATCATACTCATGAATACAAATGTTTGTGCCGTGCGAGGAATCGAACCCGTGACCATCGGACGTAAAGCGATGTGCTAGACCGCTAGACCACCGAGGTCGTCATAATAATAATAGTTATATAATAAAAAACAAGTCGCCACTTATGTCTGCACGTATATATCTTTAATTGTTTTAATAAATTGTTCCTCATGACATTTAGATTTATATACAAATTGACATATACCTACATACAATAATTCATAATTATATAAACAATCGATAATTTAATTAACTTAAGATTTGTACGCTTGATATAAGCAGATTTTGCAACGGCCATGTTTTTGTATAACATTATATATGTATGTACACAAAATCTATTGCAAATTTTTTTTTTTATATTTATTACTAAACATTAAAAAAAATCTCATCTCCCCTCTTAAGGAGAGGAGATGGCAACATAGCCCCGGCTGAAGCACAGTCGGCCGGGGTTCAGGGCCCCAGGGAGAGAAACGGTTATTATTATTATTATTTATTATTTAAAAAAAAGCAGCTTTCAGCAATAGATAGAGTGATTCAAGAGGAAGGTTTATATATATAATGTACTAGTGTACATGTACTAGTAGAGTGGCTAGTTTAGTACAATTGATACCTTCTTAAATTGTATTTCTCAATCACATGTTACGGAATAGGTGTTAATAACTACGACTTATTCTATGTTTGCTAATATTATTAATATCTATTTCGTAAGTTTTCTTATACGCGTTTAAAATAAACATTTCTTATTTATTTTTTACACTTAAAAAAATTGAATTGTACTTTGCTATTAAACCGGAAAAGAGGCACGTAAACCGGTATCAGAATAATGTTGGTCTAGTCGTATATATATATATACGAATCCAGAACAAAA